TACTGTTTAACTAGACAAGCATTTGCATTGGAAAACCAGATCTGGTTTGTTTTTTCAGTACCAATATGGTGCATCCAATAAAGTTTTACTTTTGGAAACTCAAATCTCCCGAGAGTGTTTCCTTGTTTTGGGTTCACTAGTTGGATTTAATTGCTGACAGTAAATGTAGAATTGTTATGTAGAACAGTATTTTCTTTATTTATACATGTGGTTTTATTCCCAGATTAAACAAAAATCTCAAAAAAAAAAAAAAAACATAGCCACCGAACCGGTAATAATATCAGTTGAATCCCACCCCTGATCTAAGATCATAGTCACAATGTAGTCAATATAGACATAAAGCTGAGCCCAATCTAATTTCTTAATCATGGTTGGAATTATGTTTTACTACTTTTCAAATACTGTATTAAGAACCTCTGGAATGGCAAATTTTAGGGCATTCACTGGGTGACTGACTTTCAGTGCTTAATGCAAGGTCTTAGGAGAAGATGACTTTTGGTGGGGAGAATAAACAGCACATGGGTGATTAGAGTGATGTTTTTGGAAAGTTATAAATGATTCAAGTAGATATGAATATAACATTTTGAAATTAATTATAAGAAGTCTTCCCGTGGGAAACAGCTGTTCCGAATTCTGGAAAAAATACATTATAGGATGGGACTTCGAAGGTTGGACACTAGAAGAAACCCAAAGGAGTTAAAGATTACAATTAAAGGAGAAGGATATTTAAATTCAGCTTACTGACATAGAATGGCACAAATAGAAGATGCCCATTTTAGTGGCATAGTAGGTGATATGATACGTAGTTTCCTCTGGGGTAAATTACCTTGTCAATTAATTAAAATAGTATAACAGAGGTGTAATATATTAGCTGATAAAACATGTATGGTTAATCATTAAAATAAAACCTATCTGAATAATATTTCTTTAGGAAATATATATCCTAAGCAAGGACCAATATGTTTTAAAAACACAATTTAGTGGTTTTAATGATTTTAAGTGGATATTTTAAAGATGGATGGATAAATAAATATAACATAAATATTAAAGATAACGTGACTGGTTTTAGTTTGACTTTCAAATAGAAAACAAAATTTCCTTGTAATGGGCATCATATACTTATAATGGGCATCATCATGTTCTACAGGTGAAACTCAAAAATTAGAATATCGTGCAAAAGTTCATTTATTTCAGTAATGCAACTTAAAAGGTGAACCTAATATATGAGATAGACTCATTACATGCAAAGCAAGATAGTTCAAGCCGTGATGTGTCATAATTGAGATGATCATGGCTTACAGCTCATGAAAACCCCAAATCCACAATCTCAGAAAATTAGAATATTGTGAAAAGGCTCAATATTCTAGGCTCAAAGTGTCCCACTCTAATCAGCTAATTAAGCCATAACACCTGCAAAGGGTTTCTGAGCCTTTAAATAGTCTCTCAGTCTGGTTCAGTAGGAATCACAATCATGGGAAAGACTGCTGATCTGACAGTTGTGCAGAAAACCATCACTGACACCCTCCATAAGGAGGGAAAGCCTCAAAAGGTAATTGCAAAAGAAGTTGGATGTTCCCAAAGTGCTGTATCAAAGGACATTAATAGAAAATTATGTGGAAGGAAAAGTGTGGAAGAAAAAGATGCACAAGCAGCAGGGATGACTGCAGCCTGGAGAGGATTGTCAGGAAAAGGCCATTCAAAAGTGTTGGGGACTTTCACAAGGAGTGGACTGAGACTGGAGTCAGTGCATCAAGAGCCACCACACACAGACAGATCCTGGACATGAACTTCAAATGTCATATTCCTCTTGTCAAGCAGCTCCTGAACAACAAACAACATCAGAAGCATCTTACCTGGGCTAAAGAAAAACAGAACTGGTCTGTTGCTCAGTGGTCCAAAGTCCTCTTTTCTGATGAGAGCAACTTTTGCATCTCATTTGGAAACCACAGACCCAGAGTCTGGAGGAAGAATAGAGAGGCACACAATGCAAGATGCTTGAAGTCCAGTGTGAAGTTTTCACAGTCTGTGTTGATTTGGAGAGCCATGTCATCTGCTGGTGTTGGTCCACTGTGCTTCATTAAGTCCAGGGTCAACGCAGCCGTCTACCAGGAGATTTTGGAGCACTTCATGCTCCGTTCCGCAGACAAGCTTTATGAGGATGCTGAATTCATTTTCCAGTAGGACTTGGCACTTGCCCATACTGCCAAAAGCACCAAAACCTTGTTCAATAACCGTGGGATTACTGTGCTTGATTGGCCAGCAAACTTGCCTGACCTGAACCCCATAGAGAATCTATGGGGCATTGCCAAGAGAAAGATGAGAGACATGAGACCGAACAATGCAGAAGAGCTGAAGGCTGCTATTGAAGCATCCTCAGCAGTGCCACAGGCTGATAGCTTCCATGCCATGCTGCATTGAGGCAGTAATTGCTGCAAAAGGGGCCCAAACCAAGTACTGCTTATACTTTTCAGAGGTTCTATGTACAAGCCTTGTTTTATTGATTGCATGTAATATTCTAATTTTCTGAGATTGTGGATTTGGGATTTTCTTGAGCTGTAAGCCATAATCATCTCAATTAAGACAAATCACGGCTTGAACTTGCTTTGCATGTAATGAGTCTATCTCGTATATTAGGTTCACCTTTTAAGTTGCATTACTGAAATAAATGAACTTTTGCATGATATTCTAATTTTTTGAGTTTCACTTGTATTGTAGACATTCTAGATTCCAGATATTAATATTATTCCCCATAAGAGGAGATACAATTTAAGAAACACAGATGTTTTATTTTTAAAAAAAGATAAAGTCCAAAGTTGATTTAAGACTCAAGACCCAAATGCACGCATAGCATTACCTTAAATGTTTCAAATGCTTAATTAAGTATTTAAAAATTATTCTAAATTACTAAGAAATTTAATTTTGGTTTTTTTTCTAAAAACATGCCATTTATATTTTTTATCCCATAATTTTTCTTAGAGCAACCACCAAAATAAAAAAAAACAACAACAGTTCATGACCCGCCAATAACTAAATTCTATTTTTCAAAACAAAATGGCACTTGCAATGGACATCTCTGTAATTCAAATGATGGGGTACTGCTGAACCCACACAAAACTGTGCAAAAAGGAATAATAATACATCTGAACATAGAGAAGTCTGTGACAGATAAGAAGATGGGAAAAGTACAATTCAAAAATAATAGAATGCTGGAAAGTATCTTATTGAAAACAAATCAAATGTAAAGTTTTGCTAGAAAAGCACATTTTAAGAGGATTTGCTGTGAGTGCATTATTTTTTATGATAATAAATACAACTATAAGTAAACTGTAGATATATGTTGTGAAACTAAAACTCAATTCCTTATTGCTATCTTTATATTTTCACATTTTCAATACAAAGGCAGAGAAACTAGAGCGCTCCCATGAAATATACAGTATGTAAGTCTAAATGAAAGTCAGGTGCATAAAAAAATAGAGAATCCTTCCCCAAAACATCTCTTCACTTCAATTATTATAATTTAAAATGAAAAAAGGCAATCAGCTGAATTGCTTCTTATCACTTGTATATTTATCTATAAGTAGAATACACCATAATCCATCAGAAATAATAGGGGCTTAATAATGACTTAGAGCTTCATTATTTCAACAGAACTGTGTATTAAGTATTTATTGGATTTATTTATATAAATACATTGGATTTCTAAAGCTAGTTAAAGATGACAATTGAGACAGTGTACAAAGACAATCTACTTTTAAGTATATCTAAATCTGGCCCAATCCATTCAATTTTACTCCAGCATTCATACCAAAAATTAAAATTCATCCTTAGAGCTTATATAATCCTTGCCATAAACTTAAATTAACCTATGCTGAGAACCGGTGACAGCAAAGTAACTGAATGAAATTTATAGATGAAGGAAGATTTACTCAAGGTAAATTGAAGCCATTGGCTTTGAGGCATCATTTTGTTCATTGTTTATTATTACTTTATTTGTTTGCTTGTTTTCAAAAGAGTAACTTGACTCCCTCACAAAGACAAATGGCAAGGAAAATTAGATGAAAATTGATGAAGATATACAGGTAGTCTTCAATTTATGACCACAATTGAGCCCAAAATTTATGTTGCTAAGTGAGAAATGTGTTAAGTCAGTTTTGCCTCATTTTACAATTTTTTCTTGCCACATTTAGTAAGTTGAAAAAAAAGCCTGAAACTGTCATTGTTTAGATCACAGATCTATAACCTTGGCAACTTTAAGTTAAATTAGTAACATGGTTGTTAAGTGAATCTGGCTTCCCCATTGACTTTGCTTGTCAGAAAGTTGTAAAAGGTGAACACATGACTTTGGGACACTGCAACCAATTATAAATCTGAGTCAGTTGTCATGCATCCATGTGACCATGGGGATGCTGCAACTGTCATACATGTAAATAACAATCATAAGTCACTTTTTTCAGTGCAGTTGTAACTTTGAACAGGTCACTGAGAGAACTGTTGTAAGTCGAGGATTACCTGTACTAGCAATGGTTTACAAATGGTAGTGCAAGCTGGTTTGGGTATTCTATTCCAAATGTTCAGGTCTTTTTGCTTTAAGGTAAACCTTTTTCAACCCTGGGCTTATGAAATTAAGTAAAGTCAAATAAAGCAAGAACAAGAATTGGAAACAATTCACCCAATTTACCAAGGTGGTTGGCCTTGGGATCCTTGATGATTGATTGGCATTTCAGACTTGGAAATATCAGTTCCAGTCAAATAAGAAAATAACTAAACAACAAATGAAGAAAAACTACAACAAAACCAGATAAATTCTTTGGTGGGATTTTCATTCAGCCTGCACAATCTTTTCCGTTCTGTTTTCCCAATTTATTTAAACAACATTTCTGTTGAGTAGCTCAGCTAAACTTTTACTTCCACTCCTTGTTTCTTCTTGGCAAGGACAAGAACCACTAGGAATATTCTCACCCTTAGATAAAAAACAGGATTCATGTTTGGTTGACAGTTACCTCATTTATAATGATCCAGTGACAGTCAAAAGCAACCAAATTGGCTTCCACAACCTGAAATAGAAAAGAAAGCAGCCATCAGTCATATTATTTATACCAAAGCCAATGATTATTAAATAGATGTTTTGCCACAAAGGACAACAGAGGCTCAGCAGTGGGGATAGAGACAGAGGCATTGAAATGAAATAATTATGAAATTCCAGTTCTGAAAAGAATCCCTTCGCCCATCCTGTGGAAATAGAAAAGCTTTTTTTTGTGCAAGAGCAGTCCCAAAACATTTGGATTATTGTTTGCTTTGTTAATTAAACGGTGGGATTAGAGAATGAAGACAGTAATTCCCTTCTATCCATCCATCCATGAAAAGTCCATATGATTATTTAAGCCTTAATGTTTGCTGATAAATTGAAAAACACTAAAATATTCAAAATGCACAGTTTTTAAAAAATTGATTTTTCCACCATAGCTTCTACAGTAGAAGCATGTTTGGTTAATAAATGCCCTTCCCCCGAATAAAGCTTAGGGACAACTCATCTTCTGCCCTGGAGCAATATGAGGCACAAAGGGAACAGAACAGAATAACAGTTGGGAGGGTTATTGTAGATCATTCAGTCCAATCCCCTGCTCAAGCAGGAGACCATAAACCGTTTCTGACAAGTGGCTGTTCAGTGAAAGCCTCCAGCTGTTCTTGAAAGCCAAAACTTTTGAAGGCAAACTGTTCCATCAGTTGATTGTTCTCACTGTCAGAAAATTTCTTCTTGTTTCTAGGTTGAATCTCTCCTTGATTAGTTTCCATCTACGGTTCCTTGTCTGGCTTTCGGATGCTTTGGAAAATAGGTTGTCCCACTCAGAGGTGGTATTCAGCGGGTTGAGAACCGGTAGTGGAAATTTTGAGTCGTTCGGAGAACCAGCAAATACCACCTCTGACTGGCCCTATCCCCATATATTCTCTGCCTCCCAAGTCCCACCTAATCAGCTGAGTCTTCTTTTGTTGCCCTACACAGTAGAACAGAGCTGGAAAGCAGGTTAGTGCAGTGGAGAGGGAATGGGATTTTGCAGTATCCTTTCCCGGGAGTGGGTGGGAATGGAGATTTTACGGTATCCTTTCCCTGCCATGCCCACCAAGCCACACCCACCAAGCCACACTCACAGAACCGGTAGTAAAAAAAATTGAATTCCACCACTGGTCCACTCCTCTCTGTAACAGCCTCTCAAATATTGGAACACTGCTCATGTCACCCCTGGTCCTTCTCTTCACTAGACTAGCCATGCCTAGTTCTTACAACTGTTCTTCCTATGTTTTAGCCTCCAGGCCCCTAATCATCTTTGTTGCCCTTCTTTGCACTCCTTCTAGAGTGTCTCAACATCTTTTTTATAGTGTGACCAAAACTGGATGCAGTATTCTAAGTGTGGCCTTATGGAGTGGTGGTGACCATTCTTTAAATAACATCAGATTCTCAAGATTGACTTAGCAGTACACTCATTTCTTTGTGAGGAAATCCTAATACTGCTCCTGAACTTTCAGCGGAAGCAATTGAACTGACATCATGAATAGGTACCTATTGGTTTTTCCCAAACCCAGAGAATTTCAGTTCAGAACAAGGATAAAAAAGCTGATGTTACCTAAGCAATTCAATAAAGATTGAGGCTATTAACAGCATATTCTGCAAAGCACGTGTGCTTTCCTAGCTTACAAAGTGGAAATAAGCAGTGGTGACAATGGTTTAAAAGGATGCTTAAGCAATTTCTGAGAAATCTAGGCATTATCCACCTATCCACCAAACCTTTTAAAGAACATGAAATTGGTAGTGAACGGACAATAACAAATGCTTCGTATAAAATAGGTTACATTATGTAAAGCACCTTTAAATATGAATCATATCCCAAGAATTTAGTGCCAGTATGAACATTGTTTAAAATGTATCCATAAATTCTCCAAAGGATATTTTTAGCAACACTCAGTCCAATAAATTATATTCCCTAATTGGTAACCTTTTCATGGTCATCAGAATGGCTGATACAACTTATTCAAAGCAGAAAGATATATACGTGCTATATTATGTCCTGTTTGCAGAGTTTCTCATGATTTCCACAATCATGCTATTAGGATGGTATGTCTCTATTTTTACACAAAGTATATCCTGTATGATAAAACTAGTTTCCTAGCAGTCAATTATCAATATATCTTTACATGCCAGGAGCATATTGTAAGCTGAATCGTCAAACTTGTTTGGAGAGAAGGATACTTTAAACCAACAGTGGCTAATGTCTGAATGATCAGGGATCACAACTCAGCTCCTGGTCTTTTAAGGCTATCCAGTAACATCCAGTGATTTGGTGATGAAAGGAGTACAAGCAAATATGTTAGGCCAAGATGGGAGTATGAGCGCTGCGAAGAAAAACACTCCCAAAGTGTTGAAAAAAGTGTTGAAAAAAAAAAAAGCCTGAAACTGTCATTGTTTAGATCACAGATCTATAAACTTGGCAACTTTAAGTCTTGTGGAGTTCACCTTCCAGTATTCATCAGATAGCCATGCTGGCTGGGGAACTCTAGGAGTTGAAGTTCACAAGACTTAAAGTTGCCAAATTTTGCATTTTTAAATCCCCTTACAGTAAAAATTGGGAATTTCTGGGACAAGAAGGGTTATGTCATGGAGGAGACTGACTCTGAGGGAGAGGAGGAATAGCTGACAGGGAGTGGAAGTGTGGCTCTGGAGGTTGTGGAGGAGGCTGGGAAGGGGCAGAGGCTGGCTGAGCAGTCAAAGGAGGACCCAGGCCCATCCCCTCTCCATCGTAGGGCATGCAGGGAGGAGAGGATAAGAGAGAGATGTGGTCTACTCGGGCTGCAGGTATGACAACTGCATAAGAGTTTGGTCCTGTGTACTGTAAAATGCTGGAAACAAAGTGTGCTTTATTTTGGTTTGAAGTTATCTTGGTTGGTGTCCTTCCAACAGACTGTGCCTTGTTATCTCCTTGAATTTGGTAAATACTTCTCCTGTTCCGTTGTGGAAATTTCATCACTGTATTTTGTTTGGTTTTTTATTTCACCTCTATCTGCTCATTAAGTTCGGAGTGTATTGCTTTCTTTTGAAGACTATTTTTGAGTACGTTTTATCTCCAACTGAGTATTATTGAACAGTGAGCCAAGTTGGAGGCATTAAAGGACATTTATTTACGTTTTCAATTTTGTTACGCTTGTTTTACACTCTGGGTCATCACAGGTTGGCTAAGTTTTGTATGCTACATTTAAATTGTGTGAATTGTCCCCCTGCACCCCAACCTATTTTAATTTCTTTATGAAGCAGGAATAGGAAACAGGTAAAATGTAATGTTCCTGAGTTTTATTTTAAAATCATAAGTTCAGTTGTTGTGGCCATCCCAGTTTTAATGAAATATAAAGGGCTGTTCAAACTAAACAAAATAAACAGATGGGGAAACTAGACAATGGTAGAATGACATGTAACAGAAATAACAAGCACTAGTAGCACCTGAATCCTCCTGTTTCTTAAATAGACTTAGACTTTTCAGTAGTAAAAAAAGTCAAAACCATGACCAATGCAGAATAACAAGTATCACGCAACTCAATCAGAAAAAAACAGCAACTACTATGACCAAGACAAATTGGAAGTTTAATTCAATCAATTAAATGATTTACACTCTTTATTTCCACCTCCATCTGATTAAAAATTATTTGAACAAGAAGTCCACTCTTGTTTCCTTCCTTCTCTTCATTACAATAATTTGATAAAAGCAAGGGCTCCCATACTTCTGCTGTTATGAAAAACCGGTTTACATATTTATTAGTATCTTGAAATGAATGTGATTTGTTTTGTACATTAGCATCAGAGGTGGTATTCAGCAGGTTCTGACCAGTTCTGGAGAACCGGTAGCAGAAATTTTGAGTAGTTTGGAGAACTGGCAAGTACCACCTCTGACTGGAGATTTTACAGTATTCTTCCCCTGCCATGCCTACCAAGCCATGCCCACAGAACCGGTAGTAAAAACAATGTGAATCCCACCACTTATTAGAATGTAATTCATTCTGTATATTTTTAGTCCAAAGCAGCACTAATGTAGACCAGATCCAATTACTTTGAAGAGTAGTCCCTTCCCAATCTTGCAGCTTACCTGACCCAGGTAGATCACTATACCTTCACCTGAGAGGGATGAGACTAAGTAGAATAATGCTAGAGTAACTTATATAAAGATTGGAAAGGTGAAGTGAATATGCCACTAGATTAACTACAGGTACGTATGTCCACAATTGAGACCAACATTTATGTGATTAAGTGAGGCATTATTAAGTGAGTTTTGCCCCATTTTACAACCTTTCTTGCCACAGTCGTTAAATGAACCACTGTGGTTGTTAAGCGAATCTGGCTTCCCCATTGACTTTGCTGGTGAGAGGTTTGCCCCAGGGCACTTCAACCATCATAAATACATGCCATTTGCCAAACAACCAAAATCTGATCACATGACCACAGGGGTACTGCAACGGTCATAAGTGCAAAACTTTCATAAGTAACTTTTTTCAGTACCATTGTAACTTTAAATGGTCACTAAATAAACTATTGTAAATTGAAGCTTTCCTGTATACTTTTTAAACACTTGATTATTAACAGGTAAAAAAAATAGTAGTTACTCAGAACAAAACAGCTGCACTATATAGTAGGGGTCTCCACTCTTGGCCACTTTAAGACTGTGGACTTCAACTCCCAGAATTCAACTCCCACTTTAAGTCCACAGGTCTTAAAGTGGCCAAGATTGGAGACTTGTTCCAGAGGACTGAAACGACTGCCTTCTTTTGCATGGCCACATGACACGGTTGTGAAAGCTGTTGTCATTTTATTCCACCCCACAAATGGGAGTCACATTTGGGTCACCCCTGCAGAGTCCAGAGACAAACTGCTTTGCTGGCTGGGGAATTTTGGGAGTTGAAGTCCACAGGTCTTAAAGGTGCCAAGGATGGAGACCCCTGCTATATACTATACAAGAAGAAAAACTTCAGGAGTAATAAAACAGATGTTCTCGTGTCACTTTAACACATTGTTTGTTTC